GCTGAACCATTGCTACCACAATTCTTAGAAGTATTGGGCTATATTCACATAAAAGTTATCCTCTGTTGGTATGAGTTGTGCTCTGTTTGTATGAGAAACCTAGGACACAACAGTGAACATTTTAGGTTTTGCTTGCAGGGAGCATGCTCAGCATAGGCTATTTGCTACAGAACTATGAAAGAAAAATTGGGGGAATGTACTAGCTGATTGACTCATACTCTTGAGTCAACATATTTTTCTGCTCAATCAAAACTTGTGGAGTAAGGCTTTTACACACTAAACATTCACAAGGTTAACTGTGGGCTGAAGTGGTGTTTTAATTTGGGCCCAGAGAATGAATTAGGTGCATTTTGTTCGACAGTGTTCCGGAAGCCAAAAAGATGGGAAGAAGGAAAGATGCTACGCTTGAAATAATTAATTTATAGAACTTACTGAGATATTCTAATACTGTTTTTCAGTGATTATTTACCATTATTTTGATTGTAATGTATAGCTGATACTATGTTGTATATAATATTGTAATAAGACATTTCAAAACCTGAGTTTTGTTCTGATGTTAAGTGATATATCCAAGTCTAATTTGAATGATTAATATTCCATCTTGAAGAAGACGCCACAGAGTCCAAAATCATGGAAAAAGGCTTAAGGGAATACATCATATGCCTGGTTAGGGCATGAACAATTTGTATGACATCAGGCAAGTTAACAAGATGTTAGAGGGATATTGCTGCTTTTTGAACTTTTCTGACAGTAGCTTTTAAGAACTGAAATCCGTTTCCCTCCCACATACCTTCTTAGTTGGGCTGTGAAAATGAAGTTCTTCTAAAGGAGAATCAGTGTTGCTTGCACTGTCAGGAGATAGTTTTGACCTAAGGCAAAACCTCAAGGCTTTTAACCATACCTTAAAATAGCTTAAATTGCTAATTCTTCATTAGTTCTTCACTTTTCATAGATACTGCTTTAATTTATTGTAACTTAGAATTTTATCATTGTAGATGCAAGCATTTGGCGAGCATTTCACAGATAAGTATGCTGTAAGGCAGCAGGAGTTGATTAATGAATGATTTTATTATAAAACCAGTATAACTCTTTTTTTTGGCCCAACAGTTGGGTTTTTTTCAAGCCAAATTTCAGTTTGGCATTAAGGGAAAGCAGTTTAGCATTTTAAGTTGTCTCTGTTTTGGACACACAGACCTGCAGGGAACATGATTTTCTCCAGGCCCTTTGGTCCAGGCTTATATCCATTATTGAATAACTGTAATCCTGACTGCTTCTTGAGATCTTGCTCTTAGGTTGAGGATATATATATGAGAGCAGAGATAAACCGCATCTTCATTATGTCTTGTTTGCACTTTGTTGGCAAAAAGCCAGGCATGGTGTTAGAGATTTTGCCTGGAAGGAGCTGAACTGAAAGAAAAGGTGGAGCTAAATCTGGGAAAAAATTAATGTATCAAGACATTGCACGACTATTTCTCTTGCCTCTCTCTGTGTTAAAACCCTTTTAAGGATTTGGTTAGGCTAAGAATTCCTGGTAAAATTTTGTACTTCGGGTGTGTAGAAATCAGCCCATTTTGTAGGAAGAGGTTGATAAAATTGTGTGAGAGAAGCCTTGAATAGTTTTTGCTTTAGGCTCTTTAAGGGCATTTGAACAGAGCGGAAGATGCAATGCAATTTTTGTAGCAATATTTGACGGTATAAAGCAGTGTGTTGTGGTTGTACCATGAAAACCACAAAGACAATTACAGTTGTTAATCTGTTCTGTAAGGTAGGTATATATAAATAGATGTTAACTGAAAATATAATGATAATTGAAAAATTGAATTCCAGTTCCTTACTAGTGTCATGATTTTGAGAGCCTTCAGAATTGTTTTGTGAATATTTTGCATCAGTTTCCTGGAGAGAGCTGCTTCTTCACAGTGCCTGCCTGAGGTCTTTGGAGAACACAGAACAGACTGTGTTGCAGTCAACTGCAAGACCAAGATGTTTTCTTCCATGTTGTCTTCATGCAAACAGCTGTAGAGTCAGGGTCTTTACATTTTTGTGCATCTTTCAGGTTGTGGGAGGGAAAAGATTCTGCATAGTTTCATTTTCTCCGTTCTTGATGCATCTTAGTGTTTTCAGTGTGAGTGAGTTTGTAGGAAGACATTTCTTCCAGCGAGAGCGCTGCATTTGGTTGTTTCCATATCTGCACTGGAGTTTACCTAGTCCTTCCATCCTTCTGCAGTGTTCCAGTATTCTGCTTGCACTGTTTTCAGCCTTGGGGGCTCAGGGAAGGAGGAATTAAGTTTGTAGAGAAAGCATGGTATACTTCACTGTGTTCAGGATTCAGCTGTACAACTCCCTGGGCAGCCTGACCTAATAAGACCTGCTTTGAGCAAGGGGTTGGACTTGGGGACACACAGAAGTCCCTTCCGACCTATATTGTTCTACAACTCTATAGAAGCTGAGAAGGATAGAGAAAGAGTAGAGACATGGGTGCCTGCACATGAGCCAACAAGTTGTCAGGCACAGCTGCATAGGATATAGCTTTAGCACAATACACTTCAGAGGTAGGATGACTTTGACACATTCTGTTTTGGCTGCCCTGTGCCTAGGAACTTACGCCTTTCTTGCTCTAAGTATAAGCTTTCCGTGGTAAAATTGGTTTGGAGAAAGAGGGAGGAACACCTTATAAGTGGAAGAAACCGAATGTAACAATTTAATGGAAATCAAGGATGGAGTTATTTTAATTTCAGACTGGGTTAGAAGAGTTCCTCTATCTGTCATGCCTGAATTTGCAGATCTATAGCTGAATGGTTGTGAACAGTTTATATGCTATTATTCAGTTCTTCACCAATTGCTGAAAATACATGTATTGTAGTTACAAGTAAGAATAATAAGAAACTGGTGAGTATGACTTTGTTAGTAATAAAATGCGGACTAAATGCTTAGTTATGCATATACAGAGTTCTTTGAAATATGACTGCTTTTTACAGATATAGCTGTAACTGAATTTATGAGTATCTAATTTAAATATCTTTATGCAGGCTGCTGAAATCAAGGACAGTTCTCAAAAATGTAAACAGAAGCAAGATGCTTTGGAAATGAAAGATAAACAAGTAAGAGTCTTGATATTTGTGACTTTTTTTGGTGTGTCTTTGCTAATGTGTTAATTTAGTACTAGCTATAGCATATGCCACATTCAGGTGGAATGCTGCTTCTTAAATTCTGCAGTAGAACACAGATGCGGGGGTTTTTTGTCTCCTCTTCTGTTAGCGGAGAGGGAAATTTCTGTGAAGAGGCTGCAAGTGCTTGCACACTTCACTCCCTCCAGTACACAATGAATCTTTAAAACGCCTATTAGTTGAACAGGTATTACTAAGGGACAGGTGTATGCTACATAAAATCAGCTACCTTGGTGCAACGAACTTAGGAATAGACTGTATGCATATATTCTATATATTACAGGCTTTCCTTGAAAAGCTACGGCCTCTATAGTCCTCTAATGCTCTCAGCATTAAGTATGCCCTCAAATATTCTGTGTGAGAGGCTAGGGTTATTGCTTCTGTTAAGTGTATGTGTCCAGCATTTTTTAAAAAGAAAACGCAAAGGTATATTGTAAAACAGTTATGGAACTTCATTGAAGAACTCGGTCAAGAAATGTATAAATTACATGTACAAAGGTGCAGAGTCAATGTTGCACATTGTGTTTGTGCTATAGGTTTTATGCAATCTTAGACTAACTTTCAAATGTGTTAAGGAAGATCTTAAGCTTTAAGATTCTGCTTTTGTAAAAATAAAGGAACTTCAAAAATTGATTTAAAGGCTTGATTGTATTTTTGCTTAAATGTTTCTAAACTGTAATAAAATCTTGCCAGTTCTTTGACTGTCATAGGGCTATTGGAACTATAACAGACTCTTTACGATTTTAGTGTGTGGTTACATCAGCACTTAATACCAGTTGCACAGATATCCCAGTTATTTGTCATAGGTTTTGTATACTAAACTCCTTTAATGTTGGAAATACTCAAAATTCTTAGATTGAAGAAATTCATCAAGCTTTGAGAATGAAAAAAGATGAAGAAATGGACAGACAGAGGAAAATACACAACACTCACAAGATGATAGAGGAGTGGAAGAATGAGCTTGAAACAATGGCAGTCTGTGAGAATCTTCAGCCACAAGCCGATGCTATTAATAATGAGCTGAAAAAATTACAAGAAGAAAGGGCAAATACTGATGGTGATATCAGTGATCTAAGAGTAGAGAAAATGAACCAAGAGAGGGAAAATAAAAGTAAGTTACTTGGCTTTGTTTGTTGATTCCCTGCACGCCCACC